GTATCGATGTTTCGAAAAAGAAAACCATGGTGACATAAAACGAAAAAAGACCTCCTGTCCCAAGACAAAGGAAATCCAGAAAACAACTCCCCCATTAGTTTTCTTTTTTCTTCTCTTAGTCTTTTTGGGCGGGGTTTTTAGTTTTCGTTAACCTCGAGAGATCAAACTCACACCAGAGTATATCTCCAGTAACATCCCCGCCACTTGTGATGTTCGGGGTTTTGAGGGGGATATTAACGAAAGACATGTCGCAACAGAGACCTAATTCTCTTGCACATCTCTTGCTAATTTTTCTGCAGAGTTGCTTTTATTCATTTCCCAAGCAGAGAGGAAGATGCTCGCAGCAAAATTTGGCTAGGAAAAGTAGCACATCAGGTTCTTGGCTGAAAGAGTATCGAAAAAAGGCCCACGTTATCCAGGCCTTTATCATTTATGGATACCCGCAGATGAAACTGTGATTGGGTCCGCATGTATGGAAGTTTAAGCACAGGCAAAGAATCTATTGGAAACCGGCAGTCAGTGAAAAGCATAAATCTCTTTCGAACATAGTGACTTTCAAAACAGTTGATGTTTGATGTGCTTTTAGAAAAATCAACAGCTCCCTGCAAGATTCTCTTTTTTTTTGTTATAATTTTCTCATGGGGAATTCGAATTTCAATTAGCTTTTCACATACAATTAATGTCAGGGCAGATGGATTGAGGTATTACTGCACATTTCTGAAGCATTTGTTGTAATGAAATCACCGGCACATACTACTCATCAAAGTTCTCTTAGGCAAAGAATCTGTTAATTCTTTTTTGCGGAGTACAGTGTCAGTGTCAAAATACAGTCGTATTAGTAATAACAGGAAAAAAAACCAGTTTTTATATGAAATTGTAAAATGGCTTCTTGTTTCCTCATAAAAACTGATTCTATTGAAAGAATAGCACTAATACTGTTGAATTCTGTTCAAAATTACTCGCCCACCCAATTTTTGCTTGCCAAAAATAATTTTAATTAAGAAAGAATGAAAAATTTTCGGCTACCATATAAAAAACCAATCAATGAGT